TTACTAATACACTAACTGTACCAAAATCACATCAAAGAGTGTCAATACATATCAGAAAGAATGGTAACAGCAAAGATAAGAATGGAGAAGGAAGACCTGAACATCATCGGAGTATACGGCCCAGAAAATAACAAGCCTCAAACAACAAGGGAAGCGTTTTACGACCAATTTCAACAAGTAGTAGATCAAGTCAGAGGAAAGATAATATTGGGGGATTTTAACGCTCGAATAGGCAACCAAGTAATACCCGGCATCAAACAAAAACATAACGAGAATGTTAAAAACGAAAATGGAGAACTGATGATCAACTTCTGCACGAATACCGAACTAAGAATAAACAACACATTTTTTGACCACAAAGACCAACACAAATATACATTTAATAACAGCCGCGGACAAAGATCTATGATAGATTATATTATAACCGACAGAGATATACATCCATCAAAAATAATCGAATAGAGTATTATGTAAAATAAGAATAATCCTGAAATACTTCTCACCCAAGAGAGCGGCGCAAACACAAACAAAAGTCGAAGGACTAAATACGCAATCGACGGAATACTTATACAGGAAAAGAATATCAGAGAAGATCGCTGGGAATGAAATATTAGAACACGATAACATCGAGGAAAGCTGGGAAAAACTCAAAAATAATATAATTAATCAATATAAGGTTGAATGTTCGAATAAATGAACTTTGATGGTACACAAGGCAAATATCGAACACAGTAGTTAATCAAATCTTGCCCAAGTACTTTCGATCACAAGATCATCCTCAGGGGCATCTGAAATAAGCCAAGAAACGTTTTTTTAAAAAAAGGAAAATTAATTCACTTGGATAAAAACTCCAAGTTTATAGTTGAAAAAAGTTTTTATGCGATTAACGTTTATAGACTTACTTCGTCAGTTGTGGCCTATCCAGCAGTAATAGAATGTTATAAATGTAAATTGGGACATAACAAATACACTAAACAAAGACAAACAAACACTTTAAAATTTAAGAAATGGAGAAGCTACATTTTATATAGAAGCCGGAGACAGAATGGCTCCCAGCCTGGCGGAAATATTGAGATGACATGTGACAAATGACAGCTTGTGAAGGGCAGTTACAATAGATAAGTGATCTGCGCCTTTCAAGATTCTACGAAACTAAGTATTGACCAAATGTCCAACTGACACCACTATAGGAAATCAACTGATGAAATATAAAATTATATCGAATATTTTTATGTAGATTGCTATCAGTACTGTAAAAAGAAAATCTGAATATTCAGTTGAATTGCTAAAAATTAAAATCAAAATTAAAAGCAAAATATATAAATGAGATATAATCCAAGTAGTTCAGTTGAATCCACAGTCAATGGAAGAACTTTCAAATTAGTATGTAAATACTCAGTGCATGAAGTCTAAACAGTCGAGCTGGGCCCTCTACGAGATGGAGCTGTAATAAAGTTTTTAAATATAGGATTAAATTTAGTACAATTTAAATTAATTTGAGTATTAAGACAGTGAGAGTTTTCATTTGTTTCCCTTGTAATCTCCAAATCTTCTAATAAATCCAACTCAAGATAGTTTGAAGACTAGGTAGACTCAAGATAGGTAGAACCATCAGAAAGTTATCCACTAGAGTCTCTGAACATTTGAAAAGACCAAACTCTTCAAGTTTTGGTCAACACTTAGTATCCAGCAACCACAATTTTAACATCAATTCTGGTTCATCTATCTTACATGACATTAGTAGAAAGAAAAACTATCTTGAGTTGGATTTATTGGAAGATTTGGAGATTACAAGTGAAACAAATGAAAACTCTCACTGTCTTAATACTCAAATTAATTTAAATTGTACTAAATTTAATCCTATATTTAAAAACTTTATTACAGCTCCATCTCGTAGAGGGCCCAGCTCGACTGTTTAGACTTCATGCACTGAGTATTTACATATTAATTTGAAAGTTCTTCCATTGACTGTAGATTCAACTGAACTACTTGGATTATAACCCATTTATATATTTTGCTTTTAATTTTGATTTTAATTTTTAGCAATTCAACTGAATATTCAGATTTTCTTTTTACAGTACTGATAGCGCTTAGTGGACCATTTTATTGTAGTCAACTATCCACTGTCTAATATATTGTTTAGTCTATTTCTTACATTCATACTTTATGTCAACTTCAATTGCTCTCAAACTAACATCCTAATTATTATAGACAGGTTTGAGTGTGAGATCTGGATTATTCAATCTACATAAAAATATTCGATATAATTTTATATTTCATCAGTTGATTTCCTATAGTGGTGTCAGTTGGACCTTTGGTCAATACTTAGTTTCATAGAATCTTGAAAGGCGCAGATCACTTATCTATTGTAACTGCCCTTCACAAGCTGTCATTTGTCACATGTCATCTCAATATTTCCGCCAGGCTGGGAGCCATTCTGTCTCCGGCTTCTATATAAAATGTAGCTTCCCCATTTCTTAAATTTTAAAGTGTTTGTTTGTCTTTGTTTAGTGTATTTGTTATGTCCCAATTTACATTTATAACATTCTATTACTGCTGCATAGGCCACAACTGACGAAGTAAGTCTATAAACGTTAATCACATAAAAAACTTTTTTCAACTATAAACTTGGAGTTTTTATCCAAGTGAATTAATTTTCCTTTTTTTTAAAAAAACGTTTCTTGGCTTATTTCAGATGCCCCTGAGGATGATCTTGTGATCGAAAGTACTTGGGCAAGATTTGATTAACTACTGTGTTCGATATTTGCCTTGTGTACCATCAAAGTTAATATAATTAACGCAGCAACAGAATCACTTGGAGAGAGGAAAGTAACGAACACTAACATATCAAAAAAGAAAACACCATGGTTTAGAGATGAATTGAAGACAAAATGCGAAGAAAAGAAGAAAGAATTTTTACAATCCACAACACAACAAACACAACAGGCATACAACCACTTTAAACGAATCAGAAATGAAACGAATACTTTACTTAGACAAATAAAAAAGAAACCCTGGCAGAGTTTCTCAAAACAGATGGAACACGATTTCTACGGAACTGAAAAAGAAATATAGTTTAAATATTAAGCACTATATTATAATTAAATCCAATCTCTTGTATCGGTAAAAGTACTCCAAGACGTACGCCTTACCCGTGGAAATATTGGAATTGAGGAGAGCCTCACCTCGTATTATGGTCTGTTTTTTAACCAGGAGGAGTAATTCGAATTTTCCGCGCCGTAATTCTTGTTTGTAATTGGTCCAACCGCAGGCAAGTTTACTCCACTAAATTATGACATATTGACACTAATGACATTTGTGAAATTTTAAAATTCAAAATTTATATCGACGATTTTTTGTATTTTCTGCGTTATTCCTTACATTCATAGATTTTTCGTTTACATTTATATAAAGAACAGTTTTTTTCAGAACTATTTAGTGTTATTAATATAACAATATGGATTCAATGCCAAGTACTAGTGGTAATTATTCTTCTCCACCTTAAAAACACGGAGTAGATTTGGGTCATTTATCAACAAATAAGAAACAATGTTTTATAAACATGTATAAAAAAACTAAAATTGATAATTCTGGATTGAAAATAACAGCCACGGTAGCAAAAGTAAAACAGGCAGCAGGTTAGTTTTGCAGAATAGTTATTATTAAAATCAAAACTTACTAAAGTAATGTGCTAATTTTAGGTTTTGTGAATTCAATTATTAACCAAACAATTAAAGAATATAAGCAGACTGGTGATATACGAATATTATTTAATGTGATATTTTTCTAGATGATATTTATACTAGATATTGTTTAAATTATTGTTAAGAAGCATTTTCATTTGTTTTCATTACAATAAAAGAACATTATTAAAGTAATGTGTTTTAGTTTGATTGCATTGATGCAGTTGGTTTTGTTCTTCCTGGTTGTAGATAATCACAAGAAAACTGCAAAATTATGCTTGAATGTAACATAATATACTGAATTTGTTAATTTTAGTCAATTTTATTTATTGATAACAAATGTTACAAACTCAAGAATCCAGCATTAAAAAAATTGGAAGTACACACTTATTTATACAAAGTATAACCTAAAGATATTGATACATAAGTTAAACAAATCTATCTATTGAGGTAACTGATTGATTACCAAAATACCACACCTATATTTGAACCATAATTTATTCTGTGATGGGAAATATGCAAAAGTGAATTTTAAACAGTGAACGGGAAGGAGTATGTAAAACAAATTGCCTGAAGCAATTCAGGAAATTGGATTATTAAGCTTAAAAATAATGATCAAAGTCAAAGTTAACTCTTCTGGTAAGAAAAAAAACCTATATTCAAGAAATTAATCACATCAGAATAAAAATATGGTCTACGCAGTTTAAAAGAACAGTATTTCAGAAATCTTTGAACTTTCTCTAACTTTTTGATATACAATATATATGTGATACAAATTTATGTGAAAAACCAAACTTAGATGAATGTGAAAAATGTGAAAAACGTCATTTTTTTATTGTAATATCTATTGGAAGTGAATTAAAAAAAATTATAATTCAAACATAAATTAACAAAGTTAGGTTAGAATTGACGTGAAAGGTTGTCCGCTATTGATTACTCGATTACCGCAAGGCCGAGATAATCAACAAAAAAGAAGATGTATTTGGTGACTTTTCTAGTAACTTTCTTGGGTGTGAATCTGTCTTTTTGGTTTACTCCTCCTGGTTAAAAAACAGAGTATAGAAATTTCGGTCCAATATTGAGATTGGTAGCCTTGGTCCAAACTGAGATTAGGGCACCGTCCTGTATTAAGATGGCTGTCTCTAACTAGGACCCAAATTAGATGAGAAAATGCAAAAACAAAATAAATGAAGAAACAGAAGGTACCAAAAATCTGACCCTTTTTTAAAAGCGATCAATATAAGCGGCTTGTCTTGTATAATGTCAGTAATACGAATCACCCGCCAAGATAACTACAAAGTATGTTTTTTTACTTACCGTAAATAATACTACGTCACAAACCATGGGATACGGATCATGGTATGATCTAGGAAATTCAGCGAAAAGCTTTATTATGTCCGTCATCTTACTAACAGCGTAAGGACTGTTTAGGCCATAATGTCTTAAACTAAAAGAAAAAAAAATATTGTAATTTTTTATTAAAATACCAAGTAATACCTGCAATCTTTTGAAAATAAATAATGTAATTATTGCAACCAGAATTAAACGCATAGTTATTTATACCCTTGGTTGATACAGGTGTACAAAAAGTTGTACTCGAGATTTCTCAAGACTTTCGTAAAAATGTGCAATATATGTGACTGATTAGAAGCTTCGTAATCGTTTTGGAACTTCTACAGTACAGATCTGCCTCATGCATACTCCTGGTATTTTCTGACTTCCATTTGCGTTTTGCAGACGATATAGTACTAATAATCACAGATATCCATGAACTAAAATCAATGCTACAAGATTTAAATCACAAATCGAATCAAATAGGATTAAAAATGAATCTCGACAAAACAAAGATATTAAGCAACAGCCTAGAAAACATCACGATGGATAACATCAATATAGAAAAGGTAGAACAATATATATATATATATATATATATATATATATATATATATATATATATCTAGGACATGCAATTAAAAACGAAAAGGAAAATCAAAACCTAGAAATTAAAAGAAGGACACAATTGTCATGGGCTGCTTTTGGTAAGTTGAGCTTCATTTTAAAAGGCAGAAAAATCCCAATTCACTTAAAACGAAAATCCTGCGACACTTGTATACTACCAGTTGCAACTTATGGATTGGAAACTATGGCAATAACAAGAAAAATGGCAGAACAATTAAGAGTAATTCAACGGTCCATGGAGAGGGCCATATAAGACATCCATATAAGCCTCAGAGACAAAATTCCTAACACCGAAATACGTCGAAGAACTAAAATAACCGACATCATGGGAAAAATAGCGACATTGAGATGGCAATGGGTAGCACATGTAGCAAGACAAGACACCAACAGATGGTCTCATAAAGTGACATTCTGGAGACCTCGAGAAACAAAAAGAAGCGTGAGAAGACCTAAAAAGAGATGGATAGACGATATAACTGCTGTAGCTGGAAAGCAGTGGATGATAATTGCAAAAGAAAGGGAAGTGTAGAAGCAATTGGAGGAGGCCTATGTCCAACATTGGATAAATGAAGGTTGAAGAAGAAGAAGTTCTCGATCTTCAGCAGTATGTAACAATTCATCTACTGATAAGCCTGTCCATTGACGAAGGTTTCGTAGCCAAAAACATTTCTTCCTACCAATTCCGATTTCTCTCTCGATCTTTCCGTTGAGTATAACTGCAGTATCCCGTATCAGCTACCTCTCATTAAATGCCCCAGATATTAAACTGTTTTTTATCATCTTCGTCAAGTCACCTTGGCCTTGGTCTATTCTGTTTACGACTATTATGTTTGAGCTACATTGAACTTGTACCTTGTTCATCATATTAACAACCTTCATGATCCAGGTTTCACATCCATATAGTAATACAGGATACACATAACATTTTAAGAACTTGATTCTTAGTTGTAAGTTCAGTTGAGAATTGCACAGTATAGATCTAAGCTTCATAAATGGCCCTCCTGCAATTGATATGCGAATGTTTAGTAAGAGTACCCGTCGGCAAAAAAGTGAATGATATATACTCATATACTCCCTTCAATCTTTGAGTATATCGTCATTAGGTCAAGTCTAAAACGGTTTCTCTCTGCGACTTTTTTTGGTTCTGGGGGTGTTTTTACTCTAATTTTCCCAAAAAATATCATCCGTCAGACATGAAAATCGTCCGCCAAACAATATAAAAAGTTGTTTTTGCTGTTGTTAATTAAAGTATCCTAAAAAAGGTAGCTGGTTATTTATGAATTTCGTTACAGTAGTTTTCCCGATATGTTCGAGTCGTCAGACGCGTTGAATGACCTATATTTATTATCAATAATTTGACAATTTTATTCTTGTGTTTTTCTTATTAGAGGAAAAACATCCCAGAACCAAAAAAAGTCTCATAGGAAGCCCGTGTCATACTCGGCCTAATGAAGTGATACCCAAAGTAAGGCGCAAGTATCTATCATAAACTTTTTTGACGACAGGCACACTAAGTATTTAATTTCTTCATCAGGATTTAGTGTCTCGTTTATCCAACATCCAATGGTTAACTTTTGTAATCGGCTCATCGTTGACAATTACAACCACACGTAAGTCTAACTAAGTTTGTCTTTGATGTATTTATGCCAAGTCCGTTATTGGAGCATTCTCTAGTCACTCGATCTACAGGGAATTGAAGATCTTCACGAAGATTGGGGATAACACACAACCTTGTCTGACACCTCTCTGAATGAAAATATTGTCTGTTTCTTTACCGTCTATTAGAATAGAAGCTTCTTCAGTCCAATATATATGTTGTCTATAGACGTAAATTGGTTTATGTACTTTCCATGATCTTCGAAGTAGTGTTAACATTGAAAACAAAGCTTCCCTTATTCTCAATTCTTCTATGAATCCAAATTGTTTAACTTCCATTATTTCTTTACGTTTCTGTCTTATTTTATTAAGAATTATCTTGAGAAGCAGTTCTCGAGAGTAACTAATAAGGCTAATTAGTCCAAAGTCTTTGCATGATGATATACTAGTTGTTTTTTGGGAGTGGGATAAATGTAGATGTGGCATTATTTCAGTTTCGTATATGTAGTTATAAATGTTAATAATAATAATTCTTCACCTAACACACCTCGTCATGTTTAGCTGTCTTCTTAAATTATATTCCTGTCATCTCAGCCAGTTGATCTGTGTCGTTTTAACTGACAAGTACTACGTGTTAAAAATCTAGCAGGGAGACATATAGTCCCTAAAGTAATAAATTTTATCCAATGTCATCGACCTTGGGGAAGATCGACGAGGTCAGACTGTAGGTCCTTATGGTTTAGGACAACCTAACGATCGAGGACAGAGATTGTATGAATTCTGTAAAGAAAACGATATGATCATTGCAAACACCTGGTATAAACTACCCAAGTGACGACTATACACTTGGAAAGCCCCATTTGATGGTGGCAATAACCCTGAGTCTTCAAGAAATCAAATAGACTATATACTTGTAAATGAGCGTTTCCGAAATGCCGTCAAAAAAGTCACTACATATCCTGGTACAGATATTGGATCTGATCATCAACCACTCGTAGCAAATATTAAACTAAGGTTAAAACGAATTCAGCGACAAAAACCAAAGTACTTAACTTTGACGATGTAAACATAAAACATAACATTAAAACAGAATTTAACAATAGAATAAAGAACATTGGAGAACAACTAGAAGATCCAAAAGAACTATAGAGTGAATTTAAAAACCAAGTTAACGAAATCTCCACAAACAATGATTATAGAAAAAAAAACTTAATCAAGAAAAATAACTGGATGACAGACGACATCTTGAAATTAATGGAACAACGTCGACTGATAAAATCTAATGTAACAGGATATAGACACCTGCAGAGAAGAATAAAAAAGGAAATCAAATTAGCCAAAGAAAAATGGATGAGAGAAAGGTGCGACGAAATGAAGGATGTCTTATCTAAACAAGACTTATTTAATGTGCACAAAAAACTGAAAGAAATGAGTAATATATTTAAAAAACGAGTTCCCTCTGTACTTGTTGACACTAATAACAAAATTATTGTAAATGAGCAAGAAATAAGAAAAGAATGGCAGTTGTAAATATCAGAGTTGTTTGAAAATGACAGGAATAATATTGCCGAATTCTACCAAAACTGTACTGACGGCCCAAAAATTATGAAATGCGAAGTAGAACATGCTATATAATGAATAGAATAATGCTAAAATTAGAAAAGCTTGTGGTCCAGATGATACACCAACTGAGTTGCTAAAACTGATAGAGAATGATAACATAAAAGTAGTAGTAAGACTATTTAATTCAATATATAACACCGAAGTGATTCCCGCAGATTGGCTCAACTCCATCTTTATCGCAATACTTAAAAAACACAATGCGAGACAATGCTCAGAATATCGATTAATTAACCTAATGAGCAACACTCTTAAAATTTTCCTCAGAATACTTCACAACAGAATTAGAAGCAAATGCGAAGAAGATCTTGAAGATACCCAATTTGGTTTTAGAAATGCTATGGGAACCAGGGAGGCACTTTTTGCGTTTAACATCCTATTACAAAAATGCCGTGACCAAAGGAAAGATGTATTTCCATGTTTCGTGGACTTCAAAAAGGCATTCGATAAAGTACAGCATGTAAAATTAAAGCAAATACTGAAAAATATCGGAATAGACGACAAGGATATTCGTGTCATTAAAACTTTGTACTGGAATCAAACTGCTATCGTAAAAATTGGAGATAACTACACCGATGAAATCCCCATACAACGAGGAGTCAGACAAGGTTGCATTTTGTCGCCAACATTGTTCAATGTTTACTCGGACCAGTTATTTAAAAAGGCACTTGAGAGACAACTATATGGAATAATAATCAACGGGGAACTACTTAATGTGATTAGATATGTAGATGATACGGTAATTCTATCAGATAATATTGAAGATCTTCAAATTCGGCTTGATCGTATTCACGAGGTAGGAGAGGAAATGGGCATTAAAATAAACTCAAACAAAACCAAATTTTTGGTGTTTAGTCGTGACCCATATCCCGATGCAAGGCTTCAATTGAACGGTGTCCAAGTTGAGAGAGTTCACAAAATGACATATTTGGGAACTGTGATAACGGACCAACTAGATCCAGACATAGAAATAAGACGTAGAATAGCAATGACTAAAACTACTTTTATGAAAATAAAGTCATTTCTTTACAATAACCATCTCAGTTTAGAACTAAGGCAAATAATGGTTAAGTGCTATGTTTGGTCTGTACTTTTGTATAGTGCAGAAGTGTGGACGCTAAAAGTATCGATCATGAACAAAATTGAAGCATTGGAAATGTGGGTTCATGCTGGGACATGAACATTAATGTGGGACGAATGCTGAAAATACCTTGGACAGCAAGAAAAACTAATGAAGAAGTACTAAGGAGCGTCAACAAAGACAGAGAACAGCTAAGACTGTTAAACATCGAAAAATGTCTTAGCTGGGACATATAGTAAGGGGAAGTCAATATACAATTTTACAACTGATCCTTAAAGGCAAAATAGAGGGCAGTAGAGGTGTAGGAAGAAAACAAGTTTCTTGGTTAAAAAACATTCGTGAATTGACTGCACCAAATGCAGGACAATTATTCCATATTGCAGAAGATCGAGAAGCCTTCGCAATGGTGATCACCAACGTCCGATAAATCTGATATGGCACGCGAAGAAGAAGAAGAAGTCATCGACCTAGAGTCACAACATAATTCAAATTTGGAATGATGTAAACCCATATATGGATGTCATAGCCACAACTTTATTGTTAGCTTCAACTACATAAGTCACTGAGGATGATCTGATTAGATTGAAAACGTTATGCTGCTATATAAATTTTGACGACACTTTTTAAAAAATTTTAAATATATGTTTTTATACCAAAATACAATTGTGAAGTGTTTTAACTTCTGTATGTTTTTTTAAACGATGGTATACAGCCAACTACTGAGATTTTCCCATTATTTTTTTTTAACTATTTTATTTGAGAAGTTTTATTTCCAAAGTAATATATAAACCAATACAATAAAAACATGTATAAAAATTCATTTTCTCTGAATATAACGTGTTCAATTAACTTATCTAATTAAAAAAAAAAAAAAATATTTATGATATAAATTTGAAGTACTTACTCTACTGAGTTTGAATTTTCTTGATTCGGGATGATAGTAGCAGTTACTGAAAAGAGAGCATGACTGTTGTATAATGGAATCAGTCCAGATCTGTCGGGAGAATCGTATAAAGTAAAGAAATGTTCGAGGAATACGGATGCTAGATCCTCAGCACCTTCGGAACACACAAAATTTTTTTTGTACTGTAAATTTGAATTTTCGTAAGCCGGCGCACCATCCTGAAATACAAATAACATACTGAGAATGTATATTATATAGGATTGGCCACTCAAAAAAATCCATCCTGATATTGAGCAACATTCATTGAATTTTGTGACAATGCTAAAATAGGTCGATTTTTTCAAAGGGAGACAACCATGTAGATATCTAACATTTGTCAACCTCCTTCCCTTCAGTACCACAAACCTTTTTTTTGCGTATTAACTCTATTCTTCTAGAAATCACTTTATTGAATGGATTACAACTTTTAAAAACTAATCGTAACTCTTATGTTTTGCTAGTGCTAACATTATTAAATGTAATGTAAATATAATTATCTAATTATAACATCTAATCATAATATAATACAAAAAATTGGGCTCTATTGACTTAGGGCCACTTTCACTTTAAACATACGCAAGGATTTATTTATTTAGAGTATGGCTACATCACAGGTTCATATAAATATAAATATATAAATATAAATTATATAAATTAGAAACAACAGTAAATATAAAAATATTATTCTACAAACAAACATCTAGATTATAAATATATTCGATTGACTCTTTTGTAGCAGCCAGGAAATCTGAAGGGTTGCCATTATAGGATCTAATCGGGCATTCCTCTACCATGTGTTTTACTGTTTGCCTTTCGGCGCCGCAGTCGCAATTTGGTGATTGTATTTTTCCCCATCTAAAAAGTGAGTCAGAACATCTGCCACAGTTCGTCCTTATTCTATTGAGTGTGGTCCAAATTCGTCTCGGTTGGTTGAAGCCCTCAGGTTTGCTTGTAATACATGGCATGTTCCAGTTAGCTGGTGCAGCGTTATTCTCCCATTGTTCTCTCCACCGTTCAGTTACATTAAAGTTTTGATCTACTAGCCTTTTTGCTGTTTTTAGAGGCGGGTGTCTTGAACGGAGCTTATTTATGTCTCTGGCGGAAGTTCCGACATGGGAGCGGAGCTCAGGATCAGTATTGATTTTTGTAAATTCTCTGACAAGGGCATGTTCCCGGCGGATGGGTGGTGGAGCTATATGACTCAAAGCTGGTAACCAGTAAGTGGGCGTGGCCTTGATTGTGCCCGATATAGTTCGCATGGCTTGGTTGAGTTGAACATCAACACGGTGAGTATGTGGACTGTTTATCCATACTGGTGCACAGTATTCCGCTACGGGGTATACCAGTCCTAATGCTGTCGATCTAAGTGTGGGTGCTGAGGAGCCCCATGTAGTGCCGCAGAGCTTTTGCAGGATGTTGTTACGAGTTCGGAGTTTTGCAGCAGTCTTAGTAAGATGCTCTTTAAAGTTCAGCGTTCTGTCAAGTGTAACACCTAAGTATTTTGGGTGTTTATTATATTTAAGGAGTCTAACCCCAAAATTGATTTGAGGTTGATAGTTGGCCATCTTGTTGTATAAATGAAAGCAGGACACTTCTGTCTTAGTTGGATTGGGTTGCAATCTCCATTTGCGGAAATAATTCCCTAGGGCATTTAAATCGTTTATTAGAATGCGTTCAGTGACCTCGAATTCTTTATGACTTGCGACAAGCGTCCAGTCGTCTGCGTATCCAAACTTTTTTGATGTGGATTCTGGCATGTCTGCTATGTATAGGCTGAAAAGCATGGGAGCCAGCACGGATCCTTGTGCAAGGAAAATTCAACCATCACGATTGAATCTCGAAAAACAATGAATTCTATTGAACTATTTTCCGTTACTGGCTTGCGTTACGTAGGTCTTCATTACCATTTCTCTTCCCCTTCATTACTAGGTTCGTCGATTTTGTCTTCATGATATGGCAAAGGTCCAATATTATCTTAAACATCATCTGGGGTATTTAGATCCAAGACAAACGTGTTGTGCACCAGAGGAATAAACAGTTGCAGATCTCATGCCTTTCTTTTTCAACTCTCCAACAGGTCTTTTTGATGGATAAAGTTTGGATAAACTAGCTCATCAATTGTTTGACAAATATAAATGACTCGGAAACAAAAACTTTTAAAATATGACATCGATGTTAGTCTCATCAATCTGAATAAACGACATTAATGCTAAACACATATTCATCTTTCGATTTTGACCTCCACAGAAATCGCTGTAAATAGTTAAAGGTTTTTTATTTTTTTCGTTAAGAGTCAAGTGCTTTATTAGACATGAAGAAATGGCTTTTAGGTGTCTTCCGGCTGTAGTATCATTCCACACCTAAAAATATCCAAAAACCTTCTTAAAATAATGCATGTACTCCAAAATTGTAGCAGTACAGGTTTCGTTTGTAATCTGAAACTGTTAATACTGGGAAGGGTAAGGCTTTTACAAATCCATACTGCAAGTATACCTTTCTTGATTGTTTTTGAAAATTTTTTCATCATCTTCAGCCTTCCTTAGGTAAAGTTCATTACCCCTTTCAAATATTTTTTTATCTTCCTGGGTCAAAACTTCTTCTTAGTCTGCTTTTTATGTAGACATGACTCTGTCTGTTTTTCAATCTGCCTCCAGTCAGTTGTTGTTCCATCGTTTTCGTGGTCTTCCTATTGATCCTCTTCCTATTGATAAACCGTCTCCTGCCATCTCTACCACCCTATTTGTTATCATTCGGCTTATATGATCATTCCATTCTACTCTTCTATTTTTTACCCAGTCCACCATGTTCTCTACCTTTGCATCTACGTCGTATATCTGTACTTCTAGCTCTGTCCCATAGTGTTTTATCATCAATTTTCACTTCTGCAGTTTCTAACATTCTCTTTGTCCTTTTTGTGTCAGGTCGTGTTTCTGCCGCATATGTAATTATTGGTCTGATTGCTGTTTTGTAAATTCTGCCTTTCATTTCTTTTACGATATTTTTATTTCTCCATATTGTTTCATTCAGGCAACCTGCGGCTCTGTTTACTCTATCCACTTGATCTAAGCGTTAAGTGATCCCTGCGTAAGACACTCTTCAAATTAATGATCCTAAATCGGAGACATTCATCCGCCTGGGAATTCTTAAAAAGACACGTTTCGTGGTTTCGGCAAGCCGATCCCAAGTTTGACGATTTACATGTAAAAATCAACGGAATATTAGCTGATGAGCAACCAAACATACATTTCTTTACATATGATATTAATTACCAAGTACGGCAAATTTTAATGTGACGATTCTTCATTAGGATTGGTCTCGAACTGTACCTTGCAAGAGCGGGATGAAATGTTATTTCCGGATGGATAAGTACTTAAGAACTTAAATAGTGAAGTGAAGTGATATTGAGTGCACGAACTAGCTTTTCTTTCTGTGATTTATTTTTATTTTCTAAAGTAATACTGTGATACGTTACTTCTGCCGTAAATAGTTAAAGGTTTAAGGGTTTTTTGATATATTATAAGTTTTTTTTGTAAATTAAGTGTAAACAAATTCAGGTAAATTAACCTAAAAAATGCAAGTTATGGGAGAAACTGTTGAGAAAATCCGTGGTGTGAATCTGGTTATGATAATTTAAAGAAATTACTGAGTAACGTTATTGAATCTGAGATGCAGGAAACCATTTGAAGGGGTCAGAAGCAAAACCGCCTGATATACACATATCAAAACGCAAATATATATACATACAAATAGATATACACACGCAAAAATACACATTTTGAGAAATAAAGCATCAAAGTTTTTGCTCTTTTAAAAATTCTGGATGTTCAAAACTACAAATTTTAAAGTATTAAACAATTCAAAATAAGTATAAAATTTTAAAGATACTTCTGGTGAGAAATTATTTTAGTTTTTTTACCTCTTTCGACAAAAAATGCACTTAGGTTGTTTTACCTTTAAGCAAAAATGGATTTATAATACACAAAAAGAGCTAAACAAAAGCTTAATTTTCAATTAATATTTATTTTTTCTTAAAAAAAAAAAAAATACAAATTTTACTTTTTATAACACCAGAGTTACTCATAATCTGAGAAAAAAACCTATGTAGTCGTCTTGTTCGACGTTGGCATCTTCTTTGGAAGACTTAACAGCAGTGCTTCCTTTTTTCATTGTGTTTTTTGCTGCTTTGACTCCTGCGGCAAATCATTATAAAATTGATGGTAAATGGGGGTATGAACTCTAGCAGCTGTTATAAATTTTGCCATTTTTGATACATAAATTGTCTCGTACTTCTTTTTTCGTCTTCAGTTGATGATGATATTAAGTTTACCAACCGATCGCATTTATAACAAGAGTTGAATGAGGATGGTGAAATTTTAAATTGAATTCAGTATTGAAAATATAATCCCTCATCCCTTCCTGGGGGTTTATCGTTATCAGTGCAATTATTATCTTTGTAAAGACCATACATTTTGCGAATGTTTAAATCGGACGAAAGGTATTTCGTATTTGGATTTTGATTATAAGAGTAATGACTCCTATTACGTAGTAATGATCTGATATATTCAATCACTATTTTTCTTGCGTTCTCTGATACTTTGTTGGTTGGGACATATTTTCTTCTTTTATCAGGCTTCACAAAATTGTTTTTGTTAACTTTTTTACACATAACCTTAAAGCGACTGTCTCTGATATCAAAAGTTTTTAGGAAAAAGTCTGCATATACGGCGGTCAAGAAGTTTAATTTCTGTACTGTAATTTTTTTGCTATTAGCCAGTTTTTTTTAGTTTCAGTTTTTCTGATATATGAAGTTAAAAAAGCTGTTTGCAGGTTGGTAAACTGTCCAACTTAGAGAAGAGTCGTTTACTTTTAATGTCGTTAAATATTCCACATTGGTACCTACACGCGTATGCATATACTCCTGGACACATTTTTTTCTCTGCTTTCATATTCTTGGCCAGCAAGCCCCTTATTTGTGATTTTATTCCTCTTCCATGCATGTATGCTACGCTTCCTTTTTCGGTAAATTTTAGGAATTACTGAAAAGGAAAAATATGTTAAACCCTTAAGTTGAACTTAACTTCGAAATTTCTAAAAGTACATAACTGTAAGGTAGGTACTAAATTTACCGGTATTTACAAGTTTAATATTTACATAATAAATTAATTTTTGATAGGGATATTACGCTTAAATTAAAAATAACAAGCTAAAACACACACTTTTACTACTCAAATATTATACTCCACATGTGTGCTTATAGTTGCTTCCTCGGCAGATATTATAGAATTATCGCTGTCGCTATCTTCTTCATATTCACTCGGAATAAAATCAGATTCTCCATCTGTAGCGTATGGATCACTATCTGACTCTAAAAATCACATCAAAACTCAAAAAACATGATCCAAATATTATAATGACAAAATATATCATTTCTGCAAATAATAGTATCACTTGAAACACTGCTGTTAATCTACTAAAGAAGTTTAACCTACATGCCATAAACAAATCCAAACCGTTGAGTGGAACCCAAACAACATAAGTAATAAAAATATGTTTATATCCAGCCGCTTGTTTGGAGGTAAAACAGCCTAGGTGCGCTAAGGCGATTTCTGCTCTTAACGATTGGTAAATTTCATTTTGGTTGTTTTTTTTATTCATCAAAAGATGGCGATAAAGTAGGGTTAGAGCGTAGTCGATTTTACTACCAAACAATATAAGATATTCAGAACGTGAAACATCACTAAAGTCGTTTTGGTGAAAATTTTACTTAGGCGGTTTTACTTCTAACCCCTTCATTTGCTTTTTACTAGAAGTAGATGAAACTACCGACACATCATATCATTCACAATTATCAATTGTTGCTTGATACGCGTTACGTGGTAATATTTATAAGAGGTTTTAGGTTTTACAGACGTGAGTAAAAGCCATACGACAGAATAAATTTTTACACAACAATCACTCTGTTATTAAATAACGATTATAATGATTGCTACAAACAGCACACAGACGCTGTCGACCGAGACTGACGCATGAGACGTAGTCACTGAACTGGAGCCAGGAGTGCTTGCAATACAGTGTTGGTAAATACACTTGGCGTTCCTACGATGTTGCCATACACAAGACTGTCGTGTTTAACTCAGGTTGTGTGATTGAGTAAAACGATTTTAATCACGATTAAATAATGACATATTTATAAACAAAATAAAAATACGAAATACAAAATATTTTGCTTTTAACAAAATATATATTTTTTAATTTTAATTTTTTTTTATAAATTATATACATTGAATACGCAAGTTAGGTGTACAAGTAGTATGTTTATATTCTTATTCCAAAACAATGGATATTCCATGGCCTATCTCAGTTTTTTTTTTCGATAGCTCATTATTTATGAAAACTAGTTATGTCAACAATTTCTACTAGTATCCTATTACTTACCAATATACGTAAATTTGGACAAATTCTCAATATTTCATAACGATATTTCCAAGCATCGGCAAACCGAGTACACACAGGATTGCCGCGTAAGTCTAATGTTTTTAATCCTCTGAATAAACTCAATATTTGTAAGGATTCTACATCTTTTATCTGAAAAAACGTGTAAGAAAAATAACAATTATAATAAAACTAAAAAGGTTAAATAATATACAGAGTGGCCCAAAAGTCTGGAAACGGCTAATTATCTCGTAAAATGCCAATCATAATTGTACAAAATTTGAGGTACACCTATTTTGGGATACGGAGATTCCATATTTGATATTTACAATGTTGCCAGATTTGCCGTTTTTCTTATATTATTAGTAACTTTGGTTTTTCAAATTCATCACCCTGTATATTCAGTCATTATTGGAATCTCTTATTCAATACGAGTTCAACCATATATAACACTTATGATTTTATGTAATGTGGAAGGTCATAAATACATAAAGCCGAAGTCTGGCAACGCCTAAATTGTTTCAATAAATTTTTTAATACTATTTTCAAATACATTAAAACGTAACAATTGATAGTTTATAACATTTTTTAACATAGTAGTTACGTTATTAAGTGTTTAAAATGTGCTCAATTTGTGAGTTGACAGCACCCTAATCGATGGTAAAAGGCGTCTACCACATTTCTGCGTGATTGTCTAGAAATTATTCGAGATTCATTGGTAATTCGTTGCCTTAGCTCTGCAAGACTTGCTGGTTAAGTTTTGTAAACTGAATTTTTCAAGTATCCCTAATAAAAATAATCTTTAGGATTGAAATCGGGTGAACGTGGAGGCCATTCAATTCTACCTTCTCTACCAATTTATCGTCCAGGAAATATCTCATCTAAATATCGCCGAATATTTACACCAACTATCTGGCGTTAAATTTCTTTCGACAAAAAATGACCCAATTAAATAAGTAACTACTATATCTGACCATACATTTAATTTTTGTGGTCTTTGAGTATGCTTTTCACGCATTCAGTCTTCAGTGTGAATTTACGTCACACCAGTACCTTAAATTGTGTCGATTTACACTTCCACACAGTGTAATTTTTTTTTTATATAATGGCAAAGATTTTCAATTTTATCCATCATTACCTCAGTAAACTCTAATATACGACCAAAGTCATCTTCACTTAATTCTTGCAATAAGTTAATTTTGTATGATTTAAATTTATTTTTATGTAATAAACGTAAGACTGAAGAATGACCTACATCATGTACTTGTGCAACCCTGCCGGGGGATGTATGTGGATCTTCAACAAAACTTTGCTTATATCTGAAGTTTTGTTGTCATTGATAACTCGTTTAGGTCAACCTGATCGGTATCTATCTTTTACTTCTCCAGATTCCTCAAATTGCCTTACAGTCTTTTGTACCGCCGTCTTATGAATAGGAGAACGGTTTAGAGAACGGCATTTTAGAGAAGCAATTTAAATTGCAGAACTTTTTGAACCACAACTACTGTCAATTTTAGTTCATAATTTAAATGGTGAACAAATGTCAAAATCACAGCATTCTGCATTTAAATATTTAAATTTATTAAAATCTACATATTTTGCACTGTTTTATGTATTTAAGATCTTTCAGACTATATATGACTAAATATACAGGGTGATGCATTTGAAAAAAAGTTATTAGTAATATAAGAGAAGCTGAAAATCTGGCAACATTGAAAATACCAAATATGGAATCTCCGTATCCCAAAATAGGCGTATCTCAAATTTTGTATAATTGTCTAGTAATTTACGAGATAATTAGCCGTTTCCAGACTTTTGGGCCACTCTGTATTTATTTTATACATGCAGTTTATTCCTAAAAAAATATTTGATGACATATCTTTAATATAAGCAGATAAATAAAGGCTAAGATATAAAATATATAATTAAAAAAGAACAACAATTACGAAAGAGTTACAGAAAATAACAGAAAATGTTAACATACTGCGGTATTACAAATTTATCAAAATGGAAACAGAATAAAAAATATGTAGGGAGCCATCCCAACAGTGAGACAGTTTTTTTTATTTTAGTGTAATTTTGTTTTTATCTATCCAAAATGAAAAATTAAACGCCAGCATAGGCGTTGACATTTATGTTAATCTCTCTTCAAATGAAATATTTGTAACTTTGAAGTTTGATATATTTTTTTTGCAAGAATATAGATAGGTGCATTTGTCTAACTGTACGACAAATATGCCTTACAGTGAGACATTTTAAATCCAACAGTGAGACAGGAAAAATAAACGAAAATATATAATCTAGCACGACAAAAAATCTTATTTAGGTTGTTGTGTTTTGAAAAAGTTTATTCAGGATATTATTATTGAGATTAATATAATATCATTCTCATATAATTTTGATACTGATTGTTGCGAACATAGTTTATAAATCATATTTATTGAATACAAAAGACACTTCCAAAATAAACAAAAAACAAGATACAGAACATGTATCTTGTTTTATCAAGAAAAAATGAGTAAACATAAAAATATAATATCTAGGTATGTATCTACCGTATGTCCATTAATCCAAAATCTATCTCAAACGTAAAAGAAGTCATCGTTCGGCTAGTGTGCCCACAAGGAGCATGGCAGCTAGGAGTGGCATGATGATCTTGATATCTTTTAAAGCAACAATAGCTTCATCTGGAATGTTGGGAAATACAAGTTTGCTGGTGCCCTTCGTTTGTTTTCTAAGATACGAAACTTCATACTCTTCTAATTCATTTATTTTCAGGACTTTTCCAACACACTACACCTTCTTCTCCAATTTTCTAGAAAATTCCACGAGAACAAAATCATTTTCTATGGGCTTTCTATGAAGCTCCTCAAATCCATCTGGATTGATTGTATAGTAGCAGTCATCCCCTCAGGATGAACCAAGTTCAAGTTCCTCATCTGAGCTTTCAGAACTATCTTCAAATATTTGTTTCTTGACCGTTCCTACTTTTTTCACTTCGATTTTATCAATTTTTCTTTTCTTCGTAATGCTTCGTTCTTCTATAACATCTTTTTTGGGCGTGTCAGTAGCTATAATACTTTTGCCCGTTCTTCGCGTATTTTTAGTTTTGGGTTCTCCTGCTTTTGGAAAGCCCTTAAATTCTTCTGGGCTTTTAAAAACATCTGTGACAGTCTTGCCATTCTTATCGTTCTGTTGATTGCTATTTTCAATATTGGTGTCTAAGCATCATTTTCTACATCCGATATATTTTCTTGAATATTATCACTCACGGATATTTTATTTGTTGGTGTTGATGTACTTGGTAGATCGACGGCTTTTTTGGCTTACATCAACTTTTAAATCGCGAACGGTAACAGCGCTTGGTAGAAAGTCTATATATGTGAAGACATTGGCATCGTATGGATATATACCACACTTTGTGAATGCATTTATAATATTTCTCGGTGTGAGAGCTTTTTCATGAGCAAAGCTGACGCACTCAGCTACCTCATATGGTGAAAGGCTTACCTGGATGTTGCATCATCCAGGCATCTACAAATGCATTATAACATGTTGAGAATGCCTTGAACACCCTACGTTTAGTAACTGTATCTTATTTGTGGAATGAGGAGGAAATATTAGAATTGTTACTCCGTTGTCTTTGGCCAAATTAAGAACACGAATACTAAGATGACTTTCATGATTGTCATAGATTAAGAGCGATGGATTTTCTTTGGAGCTGTTAGAATATTTTATAAAATGCTTCATTACTTCTAAAAAAAAGATCAGCATTCATCCACCCACTTGGAGTAGTAAGCCCCAACTTCCCTGATGGAAAGCCTCGTAGCATAATATGCTTCTTTAGATGCACCCTAGGAAAAACCATGGCTGGTGGTAGGTATTGTCCCGTGGCACTAACAATGCAACAAGCGGAAACCAATGTACCTCTCTCCCCACTAGTTACCTTGCTTCACCCCTTTCTCAGCAACAACCTTTGCTGATTTTTGAACCGTCGTAGTCGCAGCCTCACCAAATTGTAGATTCTACTTCCGTCAGCAAACGCATCAGTTCTTGAATATATGTTCTTCAAATTTTGGTAAAAAATTGAAACATTATGTCTATTAAATGACGTTGCACGGAATAAACTACATCCTTCGGAGGTGAGAAGCGACAGTCGAACATGTCTTTGGCGAAAACCTCTCATCCATTTCAGCCCTGTTATTTTTCTTTCATGCCATTTGACAGGAATTTTTATTTTCGATTGCCATTTCATAGGCAAGTTTTCTACAATCGTCAATAGACAACCCATAAAACATGCGTGAGCAGCTTATGACATAGTTTTCTAGGGAATCTTGTTCTGCGGACGTGAATACTTTATTAAATACTGTAGTTGGGACACATCCGTATTTGACTAATGTCGTCAACGTCTCTGGCTTTCTCAACATATCTAGCCAATTCTGAAAATCTTTCAAAGCAGCTACTTTTCTCAAAGATCCTCCTTCTCTGACCAGACTTACTGCTTCTCTCATTGTTTCCTCTGAGCAATTTCCAATTTTTCTTTTCTTTGGATCCACAATTAGCCTGCAAAAAAATATTTGGTCACATTTGCCCAACAGTGAGACACTGTCTCACTGTTGGGCACGTGCAGTCGGCAGCAATTTTGTAACCTAACTTTACAATAAAATTTATAGAGACAAAATGATCCCACTCTTGTAATCTATATAAAAAACACTTACCTTTAACCTAGGCAGATCACCAAAATACTTTCTTTTACTTCCGAAAACAGGAACTGACAAAACTTGAAAATAATTACTTACGCACGTGGGAATTAAATTAATTTAAACGGCGCGTGCATCTCTGCCACCCGCGTGTTCAACACTGTGGCCACTGTCGGCGATTACTTGTTGGTATATAAGGTTTCTGCCCACCAATGGAAAACCTAGTCGGTCGCGTAATAAGTGGGGGAGAAACAGTGTCTCACTGTAGGACCTGTCTCACTGTTGGGCTGGCTCCCCTACATAAACAGGGTGGTCACAATCCTATATGCGTCGGTCTCTGTACGGAAAATGACTTAATAATCAATTTATCTCAAAAATTTTCGTACACATCTGGACTTTGAGAGTAGTACAGCTTTCTGCATGGTCTTGTAGAGATGTTCATTTAGATCTAGCTTTTTTATGTTTTCTAGGAGGTTCTTTGGAATGACTCCAGTAGTAGAGAGAATAATAGGTATTGTCTGGGCACTTTCCATTCTCCACTGTCTTTGTATTTGAATTTCCAGGTCCCTGTACTTGGCGATTTTTTCGTTTTGTTTAACACGAAGAATTTTGTTGCTGGGTATCGCCACATCAATTAATGTTGCTTGTCTCTTTAGTTTGTTAACTAGTATGAGATCTGGTCTATTATGTGCTACAGTTTGATCTGTCAGCGCAGTGCGGTCCCAGTATAGCCTGTAGTTGTCATTCTCAAGTATACTCTCAGGAACGTATTGATAATATGGAAGATGGTTTGTTTGAAGAAGTCCCAGTTTGATAGCTATCTCTTGATGAAGGATATTTCCTACTGAGTCGTGCCGTTCCTTATATTCAGTTGCAGCAAATGCCTGACGGCTCGCGGTAAGATTTGATGGTTTCCTGAGCTTGACATCCATATCGGCATTTGTCATTTTGGACCTGAGGGTCTTTGACGATATATTTCAGGTAATTTTTCAAGACTTTGTATGTGGTTTGTGTATATAATTAGGGTTTATAGCTCGGTCAATACAAAATAAAGTGTAAATACACGGGATTATCGGAGCTAATTGGGACCGCGCATACCTCGGATACCGAAAAAATTAAGATCGGGTATTTGCTTAAAATAAACGAAAAATTCAAAAGTTATAACGTATGTAATTAGATTTTTTTATGTACAATTGAAATATCTAATGTTGACTCTTCCTGTTGCTCAATGTAGGCGGGTGCAACTTCAATCGCCTTCAATCCTTGGGAGTAAGATATTTTCTCGATTATGTCATCTGTGACATCCTCAGTGACATTGTGTGGGTTGATTACCATGTCGGCGATTGCATCATCAGTCAGTTCCATTTGCTGATCTTGCATATTCCACTCGTTGAAGTCTTCATCATTGATCGACAGTTCCGTTCGTAAGTGATTAGCAATAAAGTTATTGTTATCGTTTCCATCACTTTTCACTTCAATTTAAAAAAGCTTCCGCCATGACTTTTGCAAAGTTGTTACTCTCACATAATCCCGCGCTGAACCTATCCAGTAAGAAAAATTCTTAAAGTGATCTTTTTAAGGTCTACTGTCACAGTAATCCCCTCATCCAAGTTTCGTCACAGTCAAGCCAAGTCACAGTTTCGTTTCTTAGCCTCTTAAACTCCTTGGCCAGAGGTTGAATGAGAAATGTGACGTTTAGTAACAAGAAAACATCTTTAATGCCACCGCTAGCCAACAAACATGCATCTGGATCAGATGGCGCGTTGTCCAAAAGAACAATAGCTTTTCTTTCTATAATAGGTTTTTCTGTTTTAACTATGCCTCAACAACGTAAACGAACTCGTCAAAAGACCAATCTTTAAAAATTAGCAATCTATCGACGCACTAAGTTGATTCCTGTACATGGTAAGTAGAAAGTTTACTTAAATATTTTTAAAAGCCCTTGGATTCTTCGATTTTCCAATAAGTATAGGTCTTAATTTTAAGGATTCAGACGAGTTGCTACACATCAAAGGAGTTACTCGTCCTTAGCTCTATTTGTATCTAGGCGCAGTTTTTTCAATTTGGGCTGCGAGTATGTTGGTTGGATGCAATCTGAAGTTGAGACCCGTTTCGTCACAATTGAAGATTTGTTGTGAAGTGAGGCCATGCGCTAAAATGAGATCTCTCAATTTTAGATAAGTCGGCCGAAAGTTTTTGACCCGAAATGTTCAGTAGTCAGATGCCATACCTCTTCTTCGATCTGTCGAGCCAACCATCACTTGCAGTAAAATTTTCCTCGACATCCTTAAACCGTTTGTGAAACTCGACAGCCTTAGCTTGAAGCATGGGGCCTGTTCCGTTACGCATCTATGTTTATTTTAAACTTATTTGTCACAGTAATAATATATTCATTTTTTATCTTTATTTAAACATACGCACCACTGACTAGAGCGCTTTATATTTATCCGTTAAAGTAGAAGCCAGCTTTTGGCGCGAACAACGGCACTTCGCCCTCAACATCGGACCAAGTCGGTCGTGTTTTGTACTGTCGGTTTTAATTACTGTAATTTATAAAGTACGTAATAAAAAGTGTATCAACCCTTACAATTTTCTACAGGGCCACTAATTGGACTTCCCAACTTTCGAAGATTAGAAAACAATAAAAATAAGGCTTCAGAGTCTGTTCGTATTCTCATTTCTTCTTAGTTTTCCGCAACAAATCACTTCCATTACTCACACTTTTATTAAACCATTGTTCAATATACCTTTGTTTACGTCTCTAATCTCCCAGTCACTTTCCTAGGTCAGCAGCAACTTTTTTACTGACTCACCCTTTTCCAAGCATTTTATAGCACTTAATTTTGTTTCTAAAGAAACCACAACTCGTTTACGTTTTATACTCATATTGCACTTCAAGTTACGTAGAAACTACACAAAGAGAAGACATGAATAAACTTGTAAGAGCTTACAGTGGGACCAACCGAACAGCTCTATGATGACTCAAACTGACGGGTGGGGGAGTGGGTGGGGAGGCGGTCAGTAGAGGCATAGTGGCTAGAACAAGAACACTCGCTAGTGAGTCATCTCTTCAGCGTACTAACAGCCAGCGCACACGCTTTCACTTGATCTCGCTCTTCAAGCTAATTTGATACATAATTTGTTCTTTTCCATAACTACCTCGGTTAGTCGGGACTCGGATAATCGTGAGTCTACTGTAGTACGAATGGCAGAGAAAATGTGCTAAGAAACACAAATTCAATTGACTAATCTATAAGAAAAGTTGAGTGTTTAAAGGAAAAATACTTACCAAATTATTGTTTAAATCTAAATATGTCACACTTTCGCTCAATAGAACAAAATGCGTTAAGTCAGATATGTAATTGTTCGATAGAATAACCTCATTGGGGTTCCATTTGGCAATATACTGAAGTATTATAAACAAAGTTCTATTGTCTTCTAATAGGTAGAAATGATCTAAACCTAAAATTAAGATTGACTGTAGTACTTGCATTACAATAAATTATAATTTTAATTATTAGTTATTATAAATAAACCATAAAATGTGTATAACAATAATTGCTATGCGATAAAATAAATATAGTGAAGTCGTTTTACCCTGTCGTATTTCGGATTACGCCCGAAAAATAATGTATGACTCTAGTTACAGCCACTCTGTTATGCTTTCCCTTCTTTACCTGTTTTGTGGTACCGAACCTCCTACTGGTCGGCTGTAGTACTTGAGGATAAATCAGCGCTATCAAAACAGAACCGCTGACTAACTTAGGCAAATTTGAACAGACACTTTTATTACTTATGCTACAGGCTGAAACCATCCTACTTTAATCGATGATTCAAAAATAAAAATCAGAGTCGATTATGGAAATAACATTTAAATGACGCTACACATCCTACTGTTGTTTCCAAGTATTTAAGTCCTGTTTTCATTAGTAGCAATCTGGGCAAGTACTAACTATCCCTGTAGTACCACCAATGAAGACGTAATTTGGTCAAGTGGAGTAGATTATAGTAAAGTAGAGTAAGATTGCTTGGTGGTACAGTAACTCGTCCTCTTGACGCCACTCGTCCAGAGACTACAAAATTAGTTGAGTCATATGGATATTACGAATGCCTGTGAAATATTACTATTGTCGATTATAAGAACAATATTACAAAAACAAAAGAAAAAGTTCGTAAAATGTGTTAAGAACATTTGGGCCAAGCTAAGTTAAAACAAAAAATAAAAAACGGGACGTGGCATTCCGGGAGTAACCGAGAAGGGGAAGCATAGCTTTCTTATCGTCTAAACAAGGAGCGATGGTTTTAATTTACTTTTTTTGATAATCGATTCGGCTCGATATCTGATTCGATTCGATAATCGATTTGATTTAATTTAATAATCGATTAGAAAATTGATTGTATTCGATAATCGATTGTATTCTATAATCGATTGATAATTGATTATATTCGATATTTTATTCAATTAGATTCGATTCGATAATCTATTCAATTTGATTCGATAATCGATCCAATATTTCTTTTGATTCGACAATCGATATTTAATTCGATTCGATTTTATTTGATTTTATTAATAAACACGCTTGGGACTGCGTTTACTTCTCCATGTGGTGTGTGGTAGTCCGATATGCCGTTACAGTCGCTACAGTTTTTACTGTCAATACAGTCATTACTGTCGGTGTAGGAGCACGTACAACCAGGAATGTATGAACATAAAAAAATCAAATAAGTCTGGCTATGGAACTAGACATTTATAAACCGACATTGAAATGGTTCCCTATAATAGACAATTTCATGAAAAATATAAAAGGCAGCAGTGCAAATGAGGACAACTTAAACCAAACACAATCTCAGGTAGGCAACCTGTATTATAGATAGAGTGTGGAATATATTAGCAAAAATGAAGAATAAACCTCAGCATAAATAGTATTCTTGACTAACAATCGATAAAAAATTTTTCTATTGGCGACGCAGTCATTCAATTGGACATTAATTTATTTTTAAGGTCCACTTTAATAACTGCATATCCAATACAACAATTTCTTAGTAAATATGTCTATATTGCCATAAAACAGCTCCCTCATTCTTAATGTAGTCCCTCAGATGGTTGCGAGTTGGTTGGCTCTACTAGCATTATTACCCTACAAAATTCTCAGTTCAGCCATCTCCGACCTCCAGTGACCTGGAATGATTTTTCCAGTATCAGTATTTTTTTCCTCAACAGATCCAAACGACATATAATTTGTTGGTGCTGATAAACGCAACCAATTCTTCTACCGCGACTGAGGCGATACTTGAAAATGATCGAAAATGATTAGTAGAGGAAAATCAAAGAAGACCTGGGGGAGACGCTTAGACAGGAAATGTCGGTAAAGGTGATTAATACTGGCATGACCAAAGATAGAAAACTTATGAAAAAATTTAATTAAGGAACCGAACCGGGCATATGGATAAAGGTAAAAAGATTGATGAAGACTACCTGAACTATCAATATTTTGGTACGGTTATGAAATTATTACTCTGTACTATTCTTTTATAGATTTTATGTATGGTAACACGGACCCCTACCTAGGGATACAGGTGAAGACCACAACGGTAGGCACGGCGGAGAAGAAGATCTTCGGTACGACGTGGATGGCGGAAGTGGCATCCCTGGATTTTAGGGATGGTATAAAATCAAATCGATAGCGTCTGACCCATATTGGGCGGTTTCCAACAGCGTCTGTACCCATAATGGGCGGCTGAACTAAAAACTCGTCAACACGCAAAGCAAGCGTGACGTTTTAATTGCTATTACCCCTTTATTATGTCAGATACGAATACAAAAACGGATTTACCCCAGGTGAGTAGAAAGGAAAATTCAGAAACTCACACTGATAGACTATTAGTCAGTCCCACGGATTCTGGGGGGACAAAATTCTGGCATATTTTAGAAAACCATCTAACAGATATATATCTCTAAAAATTGCAACTTTCAATGCAAGAACCCTGCTATCAGAAGAAAAATTCATAGAAATGAAATCTGAACTTGATAAAATCAATTGGGACATCGTTGGATTCGCTGAGGTCAGAAGGAAAGGAGAAAGCCTAACCACTTTAAAATCCGGTCACATTTTCTATCATGTCGGAGAAAACGAGGGGCATGGAGGCATTGGGCTCTTTATTAATAAAAAAACTAGCTGAAAATATCATACCAGTAAAAGGTTTCCACAAGAGTTATACTTGCAAAATTACAACTAAACACCCGTTACTCCATAAAGATCATTCAAGTCTATGCACCAACATCGAGTCACGCTGACGAAAAAATAGAACAGTTCTATGATGACTTGTACACAGCTGTTTCAGAAGACCAAGAACATTTTACGGTAATATGTGGCGACTTTAATGCCAAAATATCAATAAACACTGACCCAGATGAAAATGCCCTCGGAAATTTTGGCACACCAGGTAGAAACGAAAGGGGCGAAATACTCTTAAATTTCCTATTAGAAAACAATCTATATTTAATGAATAGCTTCTTCTATAAGAAGATCCATAGAAGATGGACTTGGAAGAGCCCCGATGGTAAGACAAAAAATGAGATCGACTTCATCATCACTGACAAAAAAAACATATAGTCAAAGATGTTACAGTCTTAAATCAATTTTCGGTTGCAAGCGATCATAGAATGGTCCGAGCAACTGTAGAAATCAATATTAAGCAAGAAAGATTGAAAATGATAAAAAGTAAAAAATCCAAACCTTGGATGCGCCCAACGAATGAACTTGACTTTGAAAAATATATCACTAGTAACTTACTCAGAAATACAACAAGAGAAGACGCAAATATCCTAAACGCAGAAATAATAGATACATTAACACAAGCTCAGGAAAAATTTGGCCCTACACACGGAAAAGAACAAAAAATTAGTAAAGAAACGAAACAAAAAATGGAAGATCGTAGAATGCTGAGAAGTCAAGGAATGTTGACTCACAAGATATAAACATCATCAATAAAGAAATCTCTAAAGCCATCAGACGGGATATTAGAAAATACAACAACGAGAAAATTATAAAAACTATAGAAGACAACAAAAGCATGAAAGCATTGAGGAGAAAAATGGAAAATGGCAAAAAAGAAATCTTCCAACTTAATGACAAAAATGGAAATATTATCTCAGATAGACCAAGCATATTATATAAAAGTCAAGTTATTCCAGAGCTCATCGAACAACCAATACAAAAGCTACATAATGTAGGATCGGAGGATATACCAGATATATCACGAGAGTAAATTCAACATGCCCTCAAAAATATGAAAAATAATAGAGCTCCGGGGGAAGATAGTGTAGTCATTGAGACAATTAAACTAGGAGGTCCACTTTTGATGTCCCGAATCCAAACACTTTTTAATCTATGTCTACATAGTGAAAACATTCCAAGTAAATGGAAGAATTCGGTTACAATCCTCCTTCACAAAAAAGGGGATAAATTAGATCTCGACAACTATAGGCCAATTAGTTTGCTTAAGCACCTATACAAGCTCTTTACTCGAATACTGACAAACAGATTAGAAGCAAAACTCGATTTCTATCAATCAGACAGGCAGGATTTCGAGCGGGACACGGAACAAACGATCATTTGCAATGCCTTAAAACTCTAGTTGAAAAGTCTATAGAATATAACAGACCCCTTGACCTAATCTTTGTCGACTTCCACAAAGCATTTGACACAGTCGGAACAGTTGCTATCTTAAGAGCACTATCAGAATGGTGAATAGATCACAGGTATGCAAATATTATTCGAAATATATACGAAAATGCGACAACAACCGTTAACCTCCATTGCATGGCTGAGAAGATAAAAATTGGCAGAGGGGTACGGAGGGAGATATCTTGTCGCCAAAACTATTTATAACAGTTATGGAGTACGCATTTAAACGGCTAGAGTGGGAATCAAAGGGTATTAGCATCGATGGAAATATGCAATTCAATTATCTCAGATATGCCGATGATATTGTTCTCATAACAGACAACTTAGGAGAAGCCAGAATTATGCTACAAAAACTACAGCAAGTAACCCAGAAAGTCGGTATAAAGATAAACTATGGAAAAACAAAAATGATGACCAACCTCGTCCCCAATGAACTAATAGAAATCGAAAATTCGCCCATAGAACTTGTGGAAAAATATGTGTATTTGGGTCACGAAATAAGGTTACCGCGAGATAATCAAACATGCGAGCTACTCAGAAGAATAAGTCTGGGTTGGGCTGCATTCGGAAAAATGAGAGACGTATTTAAAACAAATATACCGACCCATTTAAAAAGAAAAGCTTTTAACCACTGCGTTCTACCAGTCCTCACATACGGAGCAGAAACCTTAACTCTCACAAAAACATCAGCCGAAAAATTGAGAAGGACACAACGAAAGATGGAGAGATAAATGCTTGGAATAAGCTTAAGAGATAGAATAAGAAACGAGGAAGTTCGTAGACGAACCGGAGTGGAAGACATCATCGAACATATTACAAGGCAAAAATGGAGATGGGCAGGACATGTTGCCCATGAAAGACGACAGTTGGACAAAAAATTGCTTTAGTGGAGACCACGGGCTGACAAGCGAAGCCGAGGAAGACCCCCAACGCGATGGACCGACGACCTCAAAAGAATCGTGACCAATTGGATAGCAGAGGCGCAGAACAAAAGCAGATGGAAAAATCTAGAGGAGGCCTATGTTCAACAATGGATAACTCAGGGCTGATTGTGATGATGTATGGTGACAAATTAGAATTCTACAGACAACAGCTGGACGAATGACTATAAACTCGGTCTAATTCAACCGAACACGGGTAATACCTCTACATTTCTCTTATTTTAACAATATGCAGTTAAGGTTATGTGCTAAAAAAATGTAAAACATGAGAAAATATCAAAAAAAGGTTTGTCGTATAGTGAGCATGCTGTTGTATCAAAAAAGGTAAACTTGATCCTTTTATTAGAAATAACGAAAAAGTATATCGAAAATCGTTATTTATTGACATGCAGTTGAGTTTATGTGGTATAATCTGGGGCAAAATTACAAAAAAATGGATTTTTTTTTGAATGGCAAAGAATGTTTAAGAACGTTCCACAAAGAAAATGGCAAATCTAACCCCGCCATTCAAGAGAACGGAAAAAATATACGAAAAATAATAACTTAAAAGTTTGCCAACAATTACCTACATAACCTCTCCCTGATATATCTTTTAGAACTTTCAAAAACCTGTATAAGATTTTTACTTGAAGTCGATAATATCTTCACAGATAGACTATAGCATAAGCTTTATAAAGACTATTTAGTTTGAAGGATTTTTTTGTTTTTGAGTAATAATTTGTACAATTGAGCAGTGTAAATAAAGTCAAATCATGAGTTTATTCTCATAACTTTACTATAACGAAACTTTTATCTTGATTTACAATACAATTTACAAGCAATATTTTCATCACCGCCATCATTAGATGATCTAATGAAATATTTTAGTACATATTAAAATATACATTACCTGACTCTTCACAAAAGTTGTCTAAATTTACGGTATAATTAGTTCTCCTTTTATCTATTACACTCCAAAGATGATGACCATCGAATCTTCTAACTTGTTGTTTTTTTACTTCCACAAAGTTGACTAATATAGTGAACTCAAACTGAAATTGTAAAAATATTTAATACATAAAGATATAAATAAAAAAATATAGATAAACTAAAAGAAAGAGCGTGAGACTTAGGGAGTGCTGACAAAAGTGAATACTTTTTATAGCACGTTATTACTATATGTGGGTTAATAAAATATTATGTCTGCCTATTACTGAATTGTTAATTTGTTTATACAGACATCAAAATAATCTAGGGGACAAAAACTATAAAGGATTTCACATAATTCCTCACAAATATTTTTAATAAAAAGTTATAAACAAATGTCCCGCATGAATTACCTCAAAAACCAAATGTCTTGAAAACGGCATTCCACAGGGCTCAACCTTAAGCCCCACTTTATTTTTAATAGCAATTAATAATATCGCTCAAGAGATAAAGCTACCTTTGAAAGCAGATCTGTATGCAGATGACTTAGTTGTATATACTAGTAGCTACAATATTACACTAGCCTCAAAAATTTTACAATCATTTCTGCATAAACTAGAAGACTGGTCCCAAAAGACTGGTTTTACGTTCTCAGGTGATAAATCTCGTTTCATCGTATTCAATAAAAGAAAAACTGATTGCAAAACAACACTTACTCTAAATGGTATCAACCTAAAACAAGTAGAGAGCATTGAATTTCTTGGCCTGAAACTGGACAGTCAGTTAACATGGGCAGAACATATTAAAAAGCTAGTCGTATCCTGCCAATCTAAAATAAATCTCCTTAAAATGCTATCAAACCGATCTTGGGGAGCGAACACCATAAAATTGCTGCATATATACCAATCATTAATCCGAAGTAAACTGGATTATGGTGCAATATGCTATTCAACTGCGAGTAATTATATACTTAAAAAACTAGACATTATACAAAACACATGTTCAAGACTAATTCTGGGTGTTTACCGAACTAGTCCTGTTTCAAGTTTTCAGGTTATCCTAGATGAATCTCCCCTATCAATACGAAGACAACACATTTCTTTAAATTATGTCGCGAGATTGTCTTCCAACCCTAATAACACAAACTATCCACTTCTTTATAAAATATATCCACCTACTCAGTGCCATCAACAAATTAAATATCCACCCTTTAAAGAACGTCTAACGAGATATGGTTTTGACATGGAGCAGCTGACACATTCTTACCCTACACAACGAATTATACCTCCCTGGACTATTAATTTTCCCACTATTGATCTATCCCTCACGGCCTATCCAAAGAGTACCACAAATCCCATAATCATTAACAAATTATATCAAGAACGGATATTAGAATACACTGGCCATAACAAGATTTTTACTGATGCGTCAAGAACAGAAAACGGACACGCAGCGGCCTTTATTCTAGGAAAGTCTGAATATGCAGTTCGCATCCCTCAATTCTGCAGCATTTTCACGGGAGAAGCAATCGCCATTTTAAAGGCTTTAGACATGTGTAAGAGTCATGCAAGCTCAGATTTTCTTATCATTACTGACTCTTTATCTGTTCTTCAGAGCTTAAGGCAAATATATCCAGTACATGCTATCCTGCAACAAATACAATTAGCACTTTATCACCTACAAGACAGACACGTGAACGTTACATTTCTCTGGGTACCATCACATACAGGTATCGCAGGAAATGAAAATTAGATGAATTAGCAAAGAAAGCTGCTACTGACGAGCAAACTGAAATTATGACTACAATTCCATTCAGTGATATCCAGCTCAATATTAAACAGCACTGTGTAAAAAATTGGCAACAAATGTGGAATTCTAATAAGACTAACCTTAAAAACGTGAAAACTAGGAATGGCACTAAACCACAATTTCCAGAAAACAGAAGGCAACAAGTGATTATAAACCGACTAAGAATTGGACATACAGCGTTAACTCACCAGCATCTCATAACAAAAGAACTACCACCTGAATGTTCCTATTGTGAATGTCCAATAACTGTTCAACATGTATTGATTGAATGTCCTCTTTATTCCTACGAAAGAGCCATCAACAACGTACCAGAAGAAGCAAAGAAACTTAAAGATATTTTAAACAGTAATATATCAAATACAATCAAATTCCTTAAGGACATAAGTTTACTACACAAAATTTAAGTTATGTTATATTATATGTATATTTTTGTAATTTTTAATTTATTATGTGTAATTTAATACGCAATTTGTAATTAGTAAATTTGTATTTGTAATAACAACTGTAAAATCTGTAAAACCTGCTAATAACCTTTAATGGTTGATGCGGAAATTCTAAATAAAAAAAATGTCCCGCATATAAAAAAAACATTTTTTCTTAGAATTATCGCAATAGCTCTTAAAAAAATTAAAAGAGAACTACATAAGTTAAAAAATGGTAACAAAAAAAAATAAGAAACTAATTTGTTACTTCTCAACCACAAAGAAGTCTTTAGGTTAAGTTTGTATAGTGTATGACCTCCACGGTTGTTGTTTACTGTCTTAAATCCTTAAGGCAAACTCATCATCAGATAGTCAGTATTACTGCGGTATTCTGTTCCACTCCATTGAAAGGCTCTAAAACAGTTGCTGTTTTGTATTGAACGTCATATTTTATTGTAAAATGCGTCTGGCCAATACGTCCCATGCATGCTCAGTTGGGATTAAATCTGGCGATTGTGCATGGTAAAAACTTAATTTCAGTGTTTTCGAAGAATGTTTGCACGACCATTGTCGTGCATTAATTGAAATTGGGGACTAGCTTGTTGCGCAAAGGGTATAACAGTGGGTTCGAGAATAATATCGCGGTAGTCTATTGCATTTAGAAACCTTTCCAGACAAATGAGATTGGTTCTTCCACCAAGAGTGATGTATACTACTGCATTGCTGTCTATGAACCTCCTGCACGGTGACCAATCATCCAGCATTGCCAGATCGGCTCAAAATTCTTACCCGTCTTGCATCTGGTGCAAATCCAAATCAGGACTGATCTGTGAACAAATTAGAGGCCCACTCATGTCTAACCCAATTTGCGTGTTCTTGTGCCCACTGATATCGATGAGCGCGATTCCCTTTGGATAATACAGACACTCTCACAGGTCTTCGAGCACTTAACCCAACTTCATGCAGTCTATTTCTAATGGTTCGTCTACTTACGAACACCTGATGGGTCTCTTTCAGCCGCATTTATACTCGTGATACAGTTATAGTACGATCTCGCAAAGCCTGCAAGCTAATAAAACGGTCTTCAATCTGGTTGGTTATACTTGTACGGCCTGTATGACTTTCTTCAATATCACCAGTTTCTTGACACCTTAACCACAAACGATAATTGTGTCTCCTCATTATTGGCAATTGAAAAACTAAATAAAACTCCACAAACTCTACAAAACTAAATATTACGTTTTATCGTATAGACAAAAAACGCATATTGAAGTTTTGTTAATTTTTTATAGCCATTCAATATCAGCATTACCGTCGAAGTTGGTACAATAATCGATAAGACAACAAAAAAGATTAAAAACATAAATTTATTTTTGTATTTGCAGCTAACTTTGATTTAAAGCTATTAATATAGGTGTCCCCTAGATTATTTTGATGTGTATACAACACAACACATAACACTTAGGATTTTAAAACTTTAAAAAAATCTTAATTTTAATCTTTAAAAATGTTGTTTATCCATTTTAGTAGTTTTCAAAATTTGTTAAATATAATAACATTTATTTGACTAATTGGCTTAGTTCCAGTGCCATAAAACAAAACACACAGAAAATAATAACAATTATTTATCATATCATTTTATAATTTTGTAAAACTTTTTATAACTTTATATAATTTTAGTTAATTTTAATTATTTTAATTTGCTTTTTTCTGTATTTTTTTATAATTTCATACAAATATTTTAAAGTGTATTTGTATGTATATTATGTTTATTACGGTAAACCGCAAGGTTACTACACGTGTCTCGATTTTTCGGGTCACGCTAAATAGAATTTCGGGCCCGTGCAAAACATCATACCAAGCAATAAGTAGTATTCACTTCAAAAACTAGAATCCTGGTCTGCTCTAAGATTCGTCACCATTCTATTCGGTTCCAACTCAATCTAACCACATAATTCGCGGTTGTCCTGTGCTTCTTCTTACAGGTGTTCCTGTGGTTACCTTTTCAGCAATCGTGTTGTCCGGCTTCGTGTTATGTGTCCAGCCCAACCAAGTCGCTGCGTTTTAGTGAACGTTACGACGTCTGGTTCATTACAGAGTTGGTCTAGTTTGACATTTTATCTTTTCCGCCACTGCCTTCGGCCGTTTATAGCTCCAAAATATTCTGCGAAATATCTGCTCGAATATCCCCAAAAGTCTTTTATCGTTTTACGTTCGAGTCCATTTTTCTAACCCATATGTGAGGACTAATGGGGTGGGAATACAAGCAAATACGAAATTCGATTCGAAGAAAATTATTAACACAGGATAAATTACCAAACATAACAGCACTTGAAATTAATAAAGAGGAATATCAAAGTGAACTAAAAAAGAGACTAGGACCTCTACTAGTATTTAACACGAAAGATATAAAGGAAATAACACAAAAATTAACGACTGACTCAACATCAACTGCAAAAAAGATCTGTGGTAAAAATAAAAATGCGAGAAAAACGACATTGAAACAAACAACACTAGATTTAATGGAAGCAAGAAGAGGAACATCGAAAGAATCACCAAGTATAAGGCTAACAACAATAAAGTTAAAAAGATAAAAGCTCAGACTTGCGAGTCTATCAAAGAAAAACAAACATTGCCATCGAAAACCATCGAAAACAATAGAAACATTGGAGTATTGAAATCAAATTTAATAAAGAAAAATCAAGGATAACTAAAATCAAACACCAACAAGGGAATATGGTGACGGAAAAAACTCAAATAATCAAGGAAATAACAACGTTCTATGAGAATCTATATACATCTATTATACAGAACCCCAGAACAGACCATAGCAAAATTCTAAACATCGGCTCCGAAACTCTCCCTAAAATAACTTGTTCGGAAATTAGACAAAC